CAAGAACCTGTTTTGCAGCGTGAGCGTTAAGAGATGTCAGCAACGAAAAACGAACTGATCCAAACGCATTGACGTCTGTTGTCGTCTGCTAAAGGACTCCACGGGTTGGGTAAGCCCATAGGTACTGATGTCGGACGGATAACAGGTTGGGCTGGGAACAGATTTGTGGAAAATTACCGGGGCATAGGTAAGGGAATGGGTACGCGTTTGCGAGAATGTTGGTAGTTATTTCAAGAAACAACACGTATTGCTACTGGTTACGTTTTTTGGGTCATATTTAGTTTCATTTACGCCTCATTTGCGATTGTGAAAGCAAAATAAAAAGTTGAGTGCACACCATACTGAACTTACAAAGCAAGCGAAATTCAGCTTGAATGCAAACACTTGCACACTTAGGAGGTAGAATGCAGGAAAATGCAAGGTGCGGGTAACGTGTGGGTGCGGGGGAATTAAAAACATGCAGCGGGTGAATATGGATATGACCCTATGGTTGGCAGAAGAATTCAGTAAAGAAGATCTTATCCGTGAAGGCATCTACTGTTGCCGTGTTGCAGCCTACGGGCCATTAGATCGTTAGAAATCACACAACACGCAGCACAGTAAAACACATACCTGCGCACCAACACACACACTCACACGTACACCCCCACACACCCACGCACAGAAACATCCACAGACACAGACCATTCCTGACTTAAGATAAATTTGAGTAGCAATGATATTGTTTGCTTCGAAAACCAAGGATTGTAAATTAAGATTGCTCTTAGTACCTGTGAAACATCTTATGCATCCATCGAAAAAAAACTCAAGGTGAATGGACATAAACTGTAACGTGAATATTGGACCCTTCACACGGCCGATATCTCGGTCATCACGCCAATAAGAAACTGAAGTGGTTGCCAGTCACGTGAACAAGCGGCGCACAAAGGCAAGGACTTACATGCCAGTCAAGTTCGCAGACTTTTATCATATTGGTGAAGTGTCTGGTCACGGCCTTCTCGATGTTCAGCGCGTCGGTGAGCGCCTCGATGCCAGTCTTCCAGGTATCCTTCAGCGGCTGCTGCTCTTGTCAACAAAAATGCGGCTCTCAGTCTGTTGCCCGGTCAGGCGCACATCATACTTTTTTGGTGAATTCATCCATGAACTTTTGCAACATAAGGCCCGTGGTTTAGCGCACAGTTTCAGACAAACGCCGCATACTTTTGTAGAACTCACATTTTACCGTTTGCTTTAATCATATTTGCTGCCATTCATCTGAAATGTTTCCATTTTCGTACCATCTTCACTGATCTTTTTTTACTTGTTTATGTCATGACATCTCTGGTGACTTCCTTATTTGGTGATATTCTTGCATACTTATTCGTGAGTTTAAGATGTTAACTTGCGCAACTCGGTTAGGCGCTATTCTTAAGTTATTCTATTACAAGTCTCATTTCCGCAACTAGCCAGTGAGCCTACCACATCCAACTTTTTATATACGTAGCAAAAAAAAAAAAAACACAAAAAAACTCAAAAAACGTGGCTCATGATTGAAGCTTTCATAGCTTGCTCAACGTTGATTGAGAGCCAATTGACTTCCAGTTTATTTGGCAATGGTGCTCACTGACGCCAGATCTGAACGACTCGACGATAATCTTCCTCCTGGCCTTACACGGCGCATGACCGCGTAATGCATGATCGTGACCATGGTTATGACCATGACGCATGACCATGTAACGCATGATAAGGTGGTAGCAGGTTTTGAATGACGTTGCGTCATGCATGGCCGGATGATCTTGAAAAATCCTGCACTATATAGTCTTCACATCTCTGCGGACGTGTAGCTCGGAAACTAAAGGGTTTTAGGTCTTAAAAGAGCAGGGCTGTAAACTGCAACCGAATGGTCTTCAAAACAGTCACTTCAGTTCAAAATCCCATACAAATGTGGAGCACTCCCTTTAACTGGTGCACGTGTAGAGAACGAAATGTCGTGTGCATGCGTGTGTATGTGTGTGCGTGTGTGCGTGCGTGTACGTGTACGTGTATGTGCGTGCGTGCGTGCGTGCGTGCGTGCGCGCGTGCGTGCGTGCGTGCGTGTGTGTGTGTGTGTGTGTGTGTGTGTGTGTGTGTGTGTGTGTGTGTGTGTGTGTGTGTGTGTGTGTGTGTGTGTGTGTGTGTGTGTGTGTGTGTGTGTGTGTGTGTGTGTGTGTGTGTGCGTGTGTGTGCGTGTAAGTGCGTGTGCGCATGCCCTTTCGGGCGACGTTCTCTTGCATTTGGCTATGATTTTATATTTTTTAAGCCTAATTTGCATCCTTGTTTTCGGCGTTATTCTCAAAGGGAGACGTTCTGCGTTTGAGGATATTGAACGAAGGATCCGATATAATGATTAAACTAATTTATAAATATTGACACACTTCTTAGTGCAAAACACTGCTCTAGACAACACAATTTCTCCGTTTAGTAATATGCTCTTCAATACGTCGTTGTTTGATGACGAGGTACTCGCTTGCGCAGCATTGACTGAGAGACGCTTGACTGCCGTTATACCTGGTAATCGTGCTCAGGAATGCCGTGCATGAACCGCCCGATAATTTTGCGCTGCGAGCTCATTTGAGCTGGCGATTGTTTTCTGTTTAATCTTGTTGTTGACTGACTATATAGTATTATAAGTCAGTCAACATGGTATATTTATGTTAAAGCATTATTTTTTATTGCTGCCTACATCTGAGAGTCGTCGGCTAGCACAGATGGCTAATCTATCGCGATTCTAGGACCCGGACGCCTTGTGCACTCAGTGACCGGTGCGACTGTTGACAGGAGCATGCAAAAGCAATTACACGGTGGTCACTGAGACGCTATGTAGATGCGTGTCGTGAAGTTAGGGCCGAAAAAACTTAGGGCAAGTCTGATGAGGCTAGGCTGTTGTTAAGCCATTACTTGTTTTTAAACAACGCCAGACGGTTAATAATAAAACTCTTGCTGATTAAGAGGGGAAGTGCTAGGCTTCACCAGACTCGAAAGGGAAGTAGAGGGAGCGGCAATTCCGTTGCTATGCTACTCCTACACCCACCCTTGCGTTTTGCGTGTGGACTTCCTTAAGCTAACCTACATGGTGGTGAGCGTTCAGTATTGTGTTTTGCGTATGTCTTGCAACGCAAGACTCTTTGTGGGGAGTCTCTTGTAACCCGAAGCTGAAGAAGTCTGATACAGTGGACCACCATCCGACACCAGCCAGGAGAAGTCACTGTTGTACGCCTCTCGCTCTTACCTCCCGCGAGTGTGTGTACAACATTGCATGCTCCCGGCGCAGTGGACGTACGTATCGAGCCTGCAGGTAGTTGGTGTTGTGGTCTCCACGCATGAGCAGGTAGTCGGCCAGCTTGAAGGCGTGTCCCCGCTCCTCGCCGGCGTGGTCGAAGAACATGTCCGAAATGCCCGGACGGTTGACGTTGTCCTGGGCGAAGTGCGCCCCCTGCCCGAAGAAGCGGCGCCGCCCTCAACACGCTAGCCACCGGGTGGATGAACGGGTGCATAAGCCTCCACCGTGTTGTATGGCATGTCACACGTCACACGTCGCATGCCACATGTTTGCGCAGCACACGCCGTTTGGGAACGCTCTAGTCTGAGTTCAAACATTCCGCGGACCAGGGCAAGGTCCAAAACTAAAGAGAAAACTCACAGCAGCGCCATTCAACCCATTAGTGGTGGCTTCATATGACAAACACTGGCAAGATTTAGAGTGGCGATGCACCGGAATCAAATGTGTTTAAATGGAAAAGCGTCAGAATTATGCTAGTCTCACCGAAAGTTGAGAAACCTGTGTACCATGTCTTCCGCCCAGGCTGTCATCTGCGCGGTGAAATCAGGAGGTGTCGGCAGGACTTACCGCAGCCAGGTAGGTGATGGAGGCGTCCAATTCCCGGGTGATCTGGTCACGGATGGCCGTGGCGCAATCCTCGATGTAGCGGTAGTTCTTGGCGCAGGGAAGACCGCCGCCTGCGGCCGGAGTTGTTTGTTCATCATTTAAAGAGAACGTTTCACATTTGTAGATATTGAAGCAAGCATCAGCTGTGATGAAACACGCTCATTTATAGCTACTGGCATATTATTAAGTGGAAAAACTGCTGTAGACAGTACAATTCTCTTTTTAGTAAACATGCCCCTCAATGCGTCACGGCTTCATTACGTCATCATAACTTGTACAACATTGATTGGGAGCCGATTGACGGCCGTTATATCTGGAAGTCGAGCTCACGAACGCCATAAATGAACGTCTCGACCATTTTACTTTATTGGCCTTGTTTGCCGCATGACTTATGAAATGACAGGATTTGAATGACGTTATTATGACGTCATGAATGCCAAGGTGACTTTGGAGTACTCTCCCCGATGTAACTTTCCCCATTTTCGCGGGCGTGTAGCTCAGAAACTAAAATGGCTTGAAAGAATGAAACGAGCATGGCTATGCGATGACGCATTTCTGGGGCGAAATCTCACGTTATTCGTATACTCACATTTGTCTTCCGGGTCATTGGCGTTGAGCGAGAGCCCGGCCATGGCCGAGGCCACCAGAGAGAGCAGCAGCAGCAGCGTCTTCATGTTCAGGCCACTGGGTGTCAATCGCCTGGGGCCTGCGGCAGGACAGACTGGCCGTCCGAGTCGCCACACTGGACACTCTCGGATCTCTGTTATCAGTCCCGGCCCGTCCACTGACGCCACCGCCGCCGCCGGGCAGCAGCCAATCAAACCACATCCGCGCAGAGCAGCACCCTCGCATCAAAGTCCAATCAGGCCAGGCGAGGACCTAATTTTGCAATAACGACTGAGAACCGCGCATGGACGCTCCACAACTAAACACCGCGGCGCGGGATGCTGTGCGATGGCCAGTTGTTTTGCCTGTCTGCAAATGCACGTTACTGTTTAGCCGTGCTGACACGCTATTTGAAAGCCGTTTTGATCAGGCCCCTGACGTGTCGCACCCAGAAGATGCACGCAAACAAAGAACGGCCAGAGATCAGCCAATGGCGCAGTGTTACCACCCCGACAGATACGGGCCGAGTCACCCTAGATTAGTGACCGGGGCGAGCATATCGAGTGTGGTACCTTGCCTTGGTCAGCTTTCGACCGGGTCCTAGTCTCCCGTCGGCTTTCGTCCCTGGAGGAAACAGGTAGGTAGGTACTTGCTAGATGTGTGATAATTTACTGTTATGTGACTGCTTGCATGGGGTGAGCAAGTGTCTGTGATCCATACGGTACGGTGGCACGACTAGGTTGTTGTACAGCCTAAATAATAAATTCAGGCCACAGGGTGGTGTTTACGTTTTTATCTTGGAATCTGACTCCCTGTAAAATACGCACGTCTTATTCACCCACACAGTGCCCTCGAAGCAGGCCTTGCACGCCGCATGTGACGCAAAACACGTATTTATTCCTTGGTTTGTTGTGCCTTTGGGAGGGGTTTAGTCTGCTATGCTGTGGATATTTCAAGCGGTTGAAGCGACCAGCCCTCATTCAGCGTTTGGCTCGCGCCTGGATAACAGCTGACCATCAAAGGAATCCCTTCCTCAAAGCCAGTTGGCCGCTCGCGCCCGCGTCGGTTTGGCTTGTGAGTCAGAAATAGCCATCTGCTTTCGGATGTGGGTCACGATATTTCATCATTTGCCGAATATGTACGATTTGATCTGCATGCCTTGTTTTATTTTGCGGCTCCAGGTGAGGGTCATGCGGGGCAAAGAGGCAGTTATTGGTGAAAATTCGTCACACATGTTTTTTATACTGCTTTCACTGCTGCTTGTATTTTGTGGAGAAGGAGCGGACATGATGTCTCAGGGTCAGAGGGCCCGCTGTCTGGGAATACTCAGCTGTAAGTTGAACTTGGACAGGGGCTCAGCGACGATTTGGGGATTCACATGTGAGTTGAAAGAGCTGGAGAGTTGGAACTCCCTGACTAGGTACGTTTCCACGCGCCTGAATTCAACAACACCCATATATCTCAAACATAGCGTACATGCCGTGTAAACGTGATGTCAACGTGGCCTTCACGATAAACTGTTTACAGAGTTGGTCAGCAGTTCCAGTGTTGACGTAACGGTGCTTGCGCTTCGTGACGTTTACTAAACCGAACACCGTGTTTTCCAAAGGGCCTGCGCAATTTCCACCGTTCCATTTAGCACCACACTCAACGGATGGTAGTGGACGCAACGTTACAGAAGTGTGCATGACCGCACTGGTGATATGCCAAGTATATGACCGAACATGACCGCACTGGTGATACGCCAAGTATAGGACCGAACATGACCGCACTGGTGATACGCCACCTGACACGTGACCAGGGGCGCGGTTCCGCAAACTAAGCTACGTCGCTGAGCAAGTAGCACGCACAAACCTACCCTCAAATACGATGAAAACTTTTTTTTGCCCAAATTGACCAACTTCCGCCTGAGAGTTGCGTGGTTGGATTGAGGGGGGGGGGGGGAGCGCGGCTAAAGGTCATCAACTGAATAGGAAACTATGCTGTCATAAAGCTGATAAACTATGTTACCCACAGTACTTGCCGAAACTTTCTGTTTCAAGGTCAAGGAGTTCGTTCATTTCACTGTCATCTCGGTGATGATTGATGTGCGGGATGACGGGCCAAACCGCAGACCGAAAGAGGACCTTAATCTCAACTTATCAAAATGTGGTAGCTTCAGCAGCCCAACACATCCAGTCGCGCTTTTAATAGGCCTATATCTTTTGACAGGCCTGTATCTTTTGATAAGTCTATGTCTTTTCACAGTTCTGTATCTTTGCATTTACGGATCGCGCCACCTCGCAATTTTCGGATAGAAACAGCAAACATTTTTATAAATTGTGCTGCCATGTCTCCTGGGTACTGAATTGCACTGTTCCGTCGAGCAGCGTACTCTTGCAACATTGCAATACTAGTATTCCGCTTCTCCATTCCGTTGAAAACACGCGTTCGAATCAAAGCCAGCTCCGGCGACCAGGTATTAGTTGATTGGCTAACAGTAACGGAGAAGAAAGCGGACAGTTGTGCTGACAACGGTGTAGGCCAAATGTGTGCATATTCTCGCGCACGATTGTGCGTGAACCATGAAGCGCCCGTTGCCAGATGTTGTTAAGGATGCGTGCCAGATTTCGGCCACTAGAGCGGACCAGACAGACCAGCGGCAGAGACGTGAGACCAGCTGCGCAATGCAGGCGAACGGACCGTTATCGAACCAGAAAGCGACCTCGGCACTTATCCTCAAAGCCTCCAAATCTGGCCTCAAATAAAGCAAATCACGCTACGGCCTAAGCCGAGACAGATCGAGCTATGATAACTACAAAGACTATCATACCAGATTATAGTGACTTATACACAACAAAGTATTATGGATTTTCCACTGTTTTTGCCTGAGTCACCAAGAGCATACACAAAGCCAGATCAGCTCATCTCGACGATTAATATTACCACGCCTTGACAGGTCACTGCAGGAAGTGCACTCACGCCTGGTAAAGTAATGGGAGGAGGCCATTCCAATGCATTGGTAACTTGTAACCGTAAACAAACAAATGTAGTGGCAACGGACTCCATCCGCTTATATTTAGGTAACAGCTCCATGGTGGTAACAATCACGTCTGATATTCTTTTTTCGTCCCGCGCCATGAAAGCCGTTTCGCCGGTTATCTGCCAGCTGCACGCAGTGCGAAGCCTGCCCTGCCCGCAGACCGGGTATTGCGCCATCTCGTCCAGACCAGCGTATGCGTGAAGCACTGGCCGCACCGCCGGTCATCTTAGTTAGAAGGGTCGCGGGCTTGCTGTTGACCAGCGAGATTCCTCTTCTAACTTACCAGACCAGCATTAGTGATTTTTTCAGATTGACGTGTTTAAACATCTCTGTTTTGTACCTCCAGATCCAAAGATGCGCGCGTTTCTCCTGTTCGCCGTGCTGATCGGAGGTTCACTGGCCTGCCAGAACCGCTTGGAGACCCTAGTTCAAGAGGCCAGCGGTGGAGCACCTGGTACGTGCAGATAGCGTTTGCTACTGGCCCTCTGCGCAACGGGTCGGACCGTTCCTCGTGATAGCAGTTTATGCTGACTTTTCTGCGTACTGCGTGTATCTCCTGTATCAGGCCAAGTCAAGATAAAAAGCGTGTCCTTCTAGTGGGCTATGAGCGTCGCTAAAAGTGAATGGACCTGGAATCTTTCTCAAATGGTTAATGCACGCTGCACGAAATGGTTAACGATGACATTTCACAAAGTGGGAAGACCATAACACCCTTGCCCCCCCCCCCCAGACTCCTGTGTAAATTTAGTTATTCCCTCTGATTAACTCGATCCAGCTCCATATGCTACCTACCACAGCAGTGTCTCTTCTCGCTATCCATGGGGGGTGTCAGCAAAACGCGCGCTTCGGGCAAACACAACCGTCCCACTGCGGCAGATCTGTCTACCGACGTACGAGACGAGTGCAACGCGCGGGTGGGCACGTTCAACTCCGTGCATGCGCCCCAGTACAAGAAAGTGATCAACAAGGCTCTGAAACTGGCTCTGCAGTACATGTCGATCGTAAGTGAACCACCCCTGCAGAAGAGGTGAGGGGGCACGTGTGGCCCGTGTTTGAACATCCGAGTGTTCGAAAAATGACGCAGAGAATCGCAAAGAATAGCACGTCAGACAGCAATGCTGAGTTAGCGTCTGACCGCCTCCGGCCGGCTGCACCTGTGTGTGACGAGCGTCCGCATCACCGTTTCCAGTCCAGCCACTTCGGCCGGGACACCAACCACCGACTGGGCTTCCAAAAGCTCTTCAAGAGTGCCTCGGACGAGCGCTTCGAACAGGCCGTGTCGATGATCAAGTACGTGGTCAAGCGCGGAGGCACCATGCACCAAGCCCTCAATGTTAAGGTAAGGGTACCAATCGAGACCGGTATTACATCAGTTTTTGAACCTCGTGCTCATTTGGTGCCGGGATTGTAGCTCAGCACGCCAATCAGACAACACAGTTGCCAACGGCATCGTTCTCGCTCCTGGGTGTATTCATTTCTGGAAAACACTTAAAAATCATATTTGCCCAGAACAGTAAAGCCAATCACGCATTATTTAAACGACGCGCCTTTACAAGTCCGCGTGCCGCCTGCGTGACCGTTCTACGGCCTGCGTCGTGTGATGTTCCCGTTCATCTGTCTGGCGTGGGGCGACGAGGCGTCGGCTGCCATGTCCGCCCCGCCCCGCAGCTGCCGACGACTGGCCTGTACAACCCGCTGCCGCTGCCCTCCCTCGGCCTGGCCCTGACCGACGCCAAGGACATGTACGAGGAGCAGGCGCGCCTGCACCGCGGCGCCCTCTGCCTGACGGCCACCGCCGGCGGCATCGCTGAAGCCGGCTGCGCGCTCGACGCCGATGTGAGTTCGCAGTCGGACACGGAGCACACCAGTGCGTCACGGGAACACATGTCACGGCGCTGTACGCAAACTACGGGCAGTATATGTAAGGTGGATTTACCATGGTCAAGACGAGAGGGATACGCGCCATCACCACGTGGTATATCCGAGACCACTGTGACGCTATCTTTCAAGGCACTTGTTTTCACGGAAAGCCTCCGTCTTTCTCTTTTGATTGGCAATCTGTGGTGAGTTCGCGCAACGAATCTGTGCAGAATGACAGAACGCAATTTCGGAACTTGCTTGGAAGGACGACGTAATTTTTAAATACGTACAGGCGTAACTTTCAAGTTCAAACGTAGTTTTCAAGTTCAAACGAGGTCAATGACACATGGGGTCCTGTTCGACTTTACATTGATCCTCGATGACTGCGCTGGACCTGATTCAGAACACGACATTGCTATCATTTTACTTAAAAAAGCGCCATTCTAAGTAAATGCAGGTGGTCATTTCCCGCCTTTGCCTTCCCAGGCATTAGAGAAGACCTGACCTGAAGGTCACTGACTGATCTGACCTGAATGGGTCACTCACACATCACTGGATCCCGCTGTTGTTTTTGTCTTGGTTCTAGCTCTATTTGGGACCCAGCGGTGAGAGAAGGTCGATCCGACATGAGTGAAAATGGCTCCCGTCTCGCGAGGGTTAACGCAACATAGCTACTGCTGTGGTCGGGTGACTGGTCCTCCGATTTTCGCTGTCCCGAGGACGCGGTGAACGTTGCAAGCACCGTGATCGTGACCGCATCAGACTGAAGGTCATATTGAGAGCTGAGCGATTGCATGATCTGACTTGACACTTGAATTAACACGCATGTGTTTGACTGCAGGACGATCAGCTCTAGCAATGCATAACGGGCTCCAATTTGCTCTAGCCGACTGTTTCGCTTTAGTCCCAGTTGCAGCTATGAGTATCTACCTTGGGCTGCTAATGACGGGGAGGTACTTAATTTCCCTACGGGTTCACTAATGCGAGGTTAGGACTTACTCAAGTTCATAACTTTGGGATGACAGGTAAGCTTTATTCGTCCCACGCCTTCATTCCTCGTACGATAAATGATGAGTTGATGGTGCCTCGTTTGAGCCGATGGATTCATCACGGCGCCGCTCTGACACCAGCCAACCATTGCAGCTGGCTCACCAGGCTCAGGACGCCCTCGAGTCCGAGGTGGAGAGGGTCAGTGGCCTGGCGAGCAAGGCCAACCTTCTGGCGTCCATGTTCACCAGCGGCGAGCACAGCCTGGCCGAGCACCTGTTCGACCAGCAACTGCTGAAATAGTGCCACAGGTGGCAGCACCGTGAGCGCTACGGACACCCGGTGCCAGCGCAGTCGGTAGTAATCACGACAGAAGGTGGCGCTGTGAGACAGAAGGTGGCGCGCCGATGCCGGGCGCTTTTGTAATTGTGGCACGCACGTCTTTGCGCTATGTACAGAGTGAAGGAGAGTCAATACATCTAGTGCACTTACCGGACACGAGTCGTCGTTGATAACACTCATCAAGTTTTGGAATGGAACAGAAATATGCGTGTCACGCCATACGGGTAACCCGAGGGACCCCTCTACCAGCGTTTAACCAGTCACAGTAGCACTGCTGCGCAAGGATTCAAATTGTGCTGGGTCAGTTAGGCAACTCAGAGTCAGAGTCGACTACATTTATTTCAGACAACAGGAGCCAGATCTGGAGTCGACCCCAGCCTGTACAACTCAGGGGAAGTCGGAGTCCGAATGACCTCTGTGTGGTATCAGTCAGAGTCGGAGCCGACTTGAGTGGGGCCTAAGTCTGTGGAGGAGATAACACGCTTTTTGTGCTTCGAAAAAACCCACACAAGACGTTTGTTTTTAGGATGAGGCTGCGAGGTCGCTAACACCAATGATATGTTCGTACATGCATACCTGGTTGAGCGGACGCGCCGATGACTCACTGGACTCAACTCCGATTCCGCGGATGTTTCACTGGACTCGAGTCAGATTCCGCCGAAGCTTCACCAGACTCCGCTCCCGACTCCGACCCGCCACAACAATTCAAAGGAATCAATTTCGATGACTCAACGGATATTTGCTTGATTTCAGAGCAGGCTCAGACTGTATCCGAAGCTACCGGCAGGCTTCGTCGGTGTGCTTTCAACATCAGTACATTGCTGTGTGCGTGTCAGCAATTTCTGACGCATTGGATACTCACTTTGACAGTACAGCAACAGCACCGTCAAGCCAACGTTTTTTTGCAAGGTTCTCCTTTTTCATCAAGGATCACCTGCATTTAGGACATCCCATGCGAGAAGGCACTCACCTATTGCTTTTTGCATGTGTACCTAATCTTCGGTCACGTGCAAGCGTGTGGAGATCGCCGTCATAAATAGGCCCACCGTGGCAAGCTGTAATGTACAGCTGACGTAGACAAGAAGCAGCGAGCTGGGGTCCTGGCCCTGTAGCCATGATGTTCTAAAACATTACGCCAGTGACCACGCTTGGTTCTAAAATTATCAGTGTTTCACGCGCCGCTTGCGAGTCACAAACTCATTCAGTTGCATAAGTCCCACTCTCACTACATCACTTCACCATACTGTTACTCTGGCTGAAAACTTCGCATTGAATTAGGAGAAACATGTGGCGAAGATAATTATTCATCCTTCCGACAAAACTGAACTTTGATCACTTGTGAACGCACTAACAGAGCTTGGGTCGTAGCTTAATTCGAAAGCATTCGTGATCTACACGAAGTCTTTGCTGGAATCGTGTTAAAGCATGTATTCATATATACTGTGACACGCCAAAATGGCACACAGGATTCATGAGTGATCCTTCATCAGATGGTGAAATGCTATGGTTAGCTGAAATTCAGCGGCATCGTGACGCCTGGTAGGATTGCACCCCGATCCTGGCCATGGACTTGCGTATTTCCCTTCCCATCCCCAGAATCAAGTACGATGTTATATGATTACTTGGTTGATCTCCAAGGCAAATTGGAAGTTCTTCAGGGTGCTTGCTTTAAGAAGCGTCGTTTTTTTTAACCGGTTCCCTTTTTCAACATGGTCGTTAATGTTCTTCAGAGACCAGATGTCATCCCATTATTCCAAGAAATAGCAACATCGGACCAGGTGCATTTTTTACGGACACTTGAAAACTATGGCAGTCGTGATTTACAAGAAACACTAAATATCATCTAATGATATGCCGACCAATACATCGATACCACACCTGTACGCACGAGGCTCAATACCATTGACGGGCCAGCACGTACCCTTTCGAAAAAAGGTGCGTTATTGCATTCCAGCTATCGCAATCACGGCCCGGCAACGCTTTACCCGCTACTCGGTGCAGGGCTGACCAAGCTCAGGCACTTACAACGACCACGCACAAAAGACAAAGCACATTAAAAAGGTGAGGTAGGGCGAAAGTTGAGAACAAGCGGCACCATGAAAATGAAGCACCGACGTCAGTTATGTCATTTAGCGCTATCACTAGGGTCGACCGCGCGGCAAAGACGACACAGCGCTACCACCACCTGACGGGCCGCAGTGACCCGCGGCACTGAAGCGGGGCGTGACGTCACCGACAGCTGACGCGCGCCGCACGAGCTGCCCGCCTGCGGGCTAGTTGGGCACGCCGTCCTTCCGTGCAGCCTTGAGCGCGTCCACGTACCAGGTGAGCTCGCGCACCAGCTTCTCGGCGTTGCGCTCAATGCGCTCATTCTGCGGCTGCCCGTCGGCCGAGAAGTTCTGCGTCACCGTCGGCACGGTGAACTGGCACGGAATGCTCACCATGCCTAGCTCGCTGAAGTGGGCCCGGGCGAACGCCGCCGCCCGCATCCCGCCGAACTGGCCTGCAGCGGGAGCCACAGGTCAGCACACACTGCTGGACAGGTCAGAGTCAGGTCAGTCAGTGGCGGTCACGGTCACCAGTCAGGTGACCACACAACCACGCCGCCGAGCCAAGTTGAAGCTACTGGGCGGCGGCTTCGCGGCACGGCATCGGGCAGATTTCGGATACATCACTGAACAGGTCACTACGGGCGACGTGGAAACCTCACCCGCCATTCCGCTTCACAAACATTGGCGAAGACGCAAGCAGTATCCGTCCGCAGGCCAACAAGCCACGCTAAGCCCCTGAAAAGGGTGCAACTAAGGTCCGTGACTGCATCATAAGTCAGCTATATCTCTGTAAACGCCACTACCCGAACCCCGTAAGCTGGTCGTTATTCCGACGAAAAAGATGACCATATGTGGCACGACTCGCTTCATGCTCGGGCTCATGTCCAGGCCGGTCACAGTCTACACAGCAGCCAAGGCTCTCACACAAGAGACCACCGCTGGGGCTGCCAACAGACGTGGTTTTCGGCTGGGTACTCTACAACCAAACCAATCCCACATCACACAAGAGCAAGTGACACTCCCACCACGCGAGCCAGGACGCCGCGCAAGTCGGCAGCAGACCAGCCGCCTAATACGACGCACCCAAGGAGTAGCAGGCCATGCCGACGGGCCGGTGGCGGTAGGAGGCGGGCGGGAAGTGGTCCAGCATGTTGACCAGCGCCGGCGGCAGTGCGCAGTTGTACTCGGGCGTCACCACCACGAAGCCGTCCGCCGCTTTCAGTGTCTCATTGGCATCCCGCAGCCACTCGGGAGCCGCCGAAGCATCCGGCATGAAGTGCAGCGGCTGGCGCAGCATCTCGAACGGCATCTTCAGCGGGTCTGCGGAGCGCGGGGACACCGCAGGGTGAAGCCAGCTGTGGCCACGTCGCATGTGACGGATGGAGTCACGTGAGCGGCGGACAGTGCCCTTACTGGACCACAACACTCAACTCGTCAGCAGCTCAGCGACGGTAGCCACTTTCACTGTCGTTAGGTGTCTGAACAAATGCAATTGGTAACGAACGACGCAGCGGCTTTCGTTAATGATTCGGGACTGGTGCACAGTGAAAGCGACAGTTGATTCCAGATTGGCAACCGAAAACGATATGCATGCGCCCTCACCCAGCCTGACCAGCACTATGTGAAGCCTTGCTAAGTAACCTACCGGCCCGACTTTTACCATAGTGCAAAGCGGATTATGAATAGCAAAGCGGATTATAAATACAGATCGAAGTGCCGATATGAACACAGAGCACACAGCTTTATCATGACGGTCCAGTGCGATTGCGGATAGTCATGTGGCACTTAAGGCTGTGCACAGGTGGTCCAAGCCCCAAGCTGGAAGGTATGCGCACAGCTCACTTGCATATCTGTCGCGCGGTGCAACAGACGCGCATTCCCCATTCACGAGACAACGTTTCCAGACATAGCCACACTATCTGACGTACACGCCCACAGAACAATCCAGCCCAATTTTTCAAAGAAGACATATTGAACAGTGCACGGAAAACATGTTCTCCGTTGTCTATAAATCAACGTCAGAGCGAAAAGCACAGCCGGCACGTTGTCGTCTGGCCGCACAGCCTCACCGAAAACGGTCACATTGTGGTTCTTCTCCTTGAGGAGCTTGACGAGATGTGTGGCAATGCGTTCACCGTTCCTGCCCTCTCGAGTCGATCCCAGAAACAGCACCAGACGTGACATGACGACCTCCTGAAACACGAGGGCAGACGTACGGCCGTAGAAGACCCTTTTCAGCTCACGAGCAACTGGCAGAAGTACAGCCTGGGGGTGCGTGTGACGTATGTAGCTTATGGATGACCCGCACATCCCGGAGGGAGACATACAACCCAGACACGACTAGTCCACCGGCCCATGTCCGCGCCGGTGGACATGGGCCGGTGAACGACTTACGTGTAGCGCATCCGCAATGTGAGACCGCTGACAAGATCGTGCTACGCATTACAGACAAATTTCCAAGATGTCCGCCTGCATAACCATTATCACTGAGCTTGCTCCACATGGTGTTCCACATGCTCCACATGCAACAACCTATCTTAAAGGGGCAGGCCTACATTTGAAAATATTGAGGCAAGCAGCACGTAACGTGTGAAGAACTCAACCGCGGCTTTTGATACGCTTTGATGTGAAAAAGACTCCACTAAATAACAAGCTTGCAACGGCAAACATTTATGGTCCTCGCTGCGTCATCGTTTAATTACATAAAGAAGCGTTTTTATGACATCATATTCGCTGCCCGGATTGCTCGGTCATCACAATCGCTCTAGCGGACGGGATGACTCGCTTGTGATGCTTCTACGCACAGCAAACTGCGTTTTTGACTCATGTGTGTGGATGCGTTTGGGCTTTTCCTCGTCATGTCCCGGTATATTTCCCGAAACGGCATCTTCCTGACTTGCAATTGCATTTTTAGTTACGACGCTTTTCTTTACGGGGATGTTCCACATTTGAAAATATTGAAGCAAGCACCAGATAAGACAAAATGAGCTCACTTTTAACTATTTGTATGGTTTTAAGAGAAGTAAACTTCTAGACAACGCGATTTCTCTAGCAATTTGGCAAATGTGCTCCTCAACACGTTATTGTTTAATTGCGTCATGGTACCGAGCACAACATTCAATGAGACAATCGGCGATCGTTTGAGCTGGAAACCGCGCTCACGAACGCCAGATATGAACGACTCGACAAATTCAGTTATAGTGACCTTGATCGCCGCATAGCCAATCAAATGGCAGGATCTAAATGACGTTACCACGAAGTCATGAATGCCCAGGTGACCTTGAAATAGTCTGCCCACCTACTCGGGCGTCTGGCATAGGAACTAGAGGGTCTAGGTCTTAAGAAGGATAGGGCTGTGAGCTGCACCGAATGACCTACAAAATGGCTATGTCAGTTCCAATCCCCATACCAATGCGGAATACTCCCTTCAAATAAGCAGTGACCACTACTGAAATGGTCCAAGCAGACGACCGCGGCTTTTTGCGCTAAACGCATCGAGTTCACTGCGCGCTTCAGCACCACTCTGACACAGTTACTATAATATTTACTGCCATAACTTTTAGTGCAGTCGTTGGATGGCATGCGTTGTAGCAGCTGGTCAGTTCCGCCACAAATGGAGCTGGTGCGACCATCGAAATCTGAGTAAAAGTCCCTGACGCGTTAACCAGCCGCAACGCGTTCCCCAACCGCCAATGGCACAAACATCCGCAGACGCCAATAAGTCGTGCGACGAAGATCGAGCCCAATGAACTCAAATGTTTAAAAATGAAGAACCCATAGGGCCAAGGAATAGACCATGGCCGGAATCTGTATGGGAAGCAAGTACAACATCGTGCACCGGGGAGGGAGTTGTTTAAACAATGCCGGAACGGAGTGGGGCGGGGCATCCTCGGAGATTGGCAGGGACGAGACGGAATGCGCTGCAGCATTGTGCGTGGTCCTGCCTGACAGAAGGGCGGAGGCAATATTACTCGTCGAACTGAGCCGCACAATTTTGGCGGCGGGTCATTGGTGCGCGCCATAAACCTGGCTGAGCACGTGCTCTTAACCCCAAGATCCAATGCATAAATACATCCATTTAATTCTAAAACATTTGAAGCAAATGAAGCATTTATTAATCCTTGGTGCTCGCAGAGACTAGACAGGCGTCCCCACTGCTGACAGGGACAAGACTGACGTTTCTGGATGCTGAAAGGGTGGAAAGAACCGCCGACAGCCTCTGATAAACAAACACCGCCTCAGTCGGCAGGCGGATGTGGAGGGACGCTATTGATAGCTGCCGGGGGGACGCAGGCAGTCGGACGTCGGCCAGCCTAACGCGGCTAGCCGCGCGCGCCCATGACGCCCATCTCACTCTACGGCGGTGAGAGTGGCAGAGGATGGAAGGTGATCACAGCTTCTACGATCGATTCTGCTCTTCCCCCAACCGGGTCACACGCGTTGGCGGAGCTGCAGCAGAATTAAGAAATCACTCCGAAAGGAATGCTCCAAACAGACTGAATGGTGCGGACAGAACGAAGGCACCAAAGCCGAAATAATCGATAGCACACAGCCATTAGGGGATCCAAAAGGGTAAGAAAATATTTCACCCTGATAGGGAGGAAGTTAATGCAGGTGCATGCATTGTTGTATGCGTCGAAATCAACTGTCGCAAGAAAACTGCCATAAATAACGCACACGGGTTATGAAACAGCTGCTGATTTGTTATTTTGACAATCATCTGCTAGACCTTAGCCTGTTTTGCGTACAGGCGTTGAGGGTTTTTGTGTGTAATACGTTGTCATATCTCATCGTTCCGGAGTAAATAAGACAAAATTGACACTATCGTTTCGCTTTCCTTGTACTAAAAAAATACTCACTGCTGCAACGTTTCATTTAGTTGATCTCGCCGCAACGTCATGGCCGAAAAGGCTGTCATTTGCGCGTGCCACGCCATTTGAGGGCACCACTTCCTTCTCATGTTCTGGGCCAAACCAAACTACCAGAACTATTGCGTAAATAACGCACGCCAAGATGAAACACATTTGCCGAAAGCACTTCGGGTTGGTGCAAGTTTTCTCCGAATTTAACTTAATGTGCTTGTTTTCGGTGGTCAGCTGGTTGCGACTCTCTCCCTCATAGCGTTCCCCTTGACGGCCAGCGGGGGGCGAACGGACGCATGTTCGTTTAATGGGGTTGGAGGGGAGAGGGAGGCACAGCAATGCTGAACATTTTTGGAGCATCACCAGGCCTCATGATCTATTGTATTCTAAGTTGGGAGCTTACTGCCTGCTCACCACACCCAGCTCTTTGCAAAAGCCAACTGGTACATCACAACCTGCCAGGAACGTACAGTCATGCTCTGTTAAAAGAACTTGACCCGACCATCTCGCAGTTCAGCGCTCTGAATTTGAGGAAGAAAGCAATGAGTTTCAACAATTAAATGCCCATGAAAAATTCAAGCAATATAAGCAAAAATAGGTCATGCTTTGATTCGCTCCCAACAACAAAATTACGGGATCTTACACCAAACTTAACACCGCTTTTTCAGTGCGCAAATATTCGCATTGCTAGTTTTCGTATGACATTTTGTCGCATGGAAATCACCGTTAACACATTTATTCGGATGGGCAATTCCTCGCTACGCAGTGTGGCTATTGCAAAAACCCTTTTTATGGAATGATGCGCAGCGTATTTTGTTTATACACGCGGCTATAAGTGACATATTTCTTCCTACACACAGTTCTTCGCATGTATGTTCTTTGTAAGCCCATTTCCTCGTACTGCATGCCTTCGTGGACATATAATTGTGTGTCATGTTGTGGGCCTCCTTCACAACGTGTTATGCAAGCCTACATTTTGTTTTTGGCTAGAGGGCCTTGAATGTTGTTACGGACAAACGGGAAACGCTTCATGCTTCGTATGCGAATCCTGCTACCACATGGTAAAGAAAATGTAAATATAATGTACACATACTTCTTTGGTGCTTGGCCAACTGCTTTAACATAACCAATGATTGCAACCTAATCACTTGGATACAGAAACAGACAACGTAACACCCGATATGGGTAATGCCATGTGGAAAAGTGTTACATAATGTGATGCGCGTCCAGTTGCAGCCCATAAATTCGCAAGTGATACCAAGCTGTCGTATCGTCATTGGCTTGTCTCCGCCGAGTGTGGTAGCTGTAAATCGTGTACGATATTTCGAGCATGACAGTTAAACAGCTAACTGTTGGTCCACCGTCCCATAGCAAATATGATAGCTGCACGTGGACTACAGCAGTTTGTACACCAATCGGCTTTGCTGACGGCCGTTGGTCTTTTACGAGTCGTAGACCACGGGATCGATTTCGTGGACAGTCCTTGAGGAATATGCCCCTCCTAAAACCCAGCGAAGACACATGAGACGTCCCATTTCAGAGTTTAACCAAGATGGGGCCCATCCAGGGCCTAAACCTGACATGGCATTTCCTTGAGCCCGAAATTCTCGTTTCCTGAGCACGGAACGGATCTTCCCTGGTCTATAAACGTCCCTTTTTGAGTTTGCGATTGTCCCTTTCTCTATCCCGACCTGAGAGCTGCGTTCTTAAGCCTATGATGGACTCTTTTCAGATATGAAACGGATTCCTCCCGAGTTCACAAAGGGACTTACCTGATCAGAAATTGGCCATTTCCAGGCATAATATCAACATGTCAGTTCACTGTCGTGACGTGAGCTATCTAAGAAATGTGTCGGGTGCTCCCTGACTTCAATATGCAAGAAAGGACCCAAGGTTGTGTTATGCACGGCTTGTCCATTATCCTTGCCGGTGTTTCCTTCAACTTGATTTCTTGCCATCCGCGTAACTACGAGTAATGGCTCCTAATTTTTCCGCAATATTGTCGTGCTCCCTCGACGGATTTCCCACCAACGCCACACGGCAATCACGTGATTCCCAAAGCCAAGCTTGAATAAAAGCAAGATATACCATGACTGACTCAATCATTTAGAGGAAGTTCCTGTATGGTTTTTGAAGTTACGTACTCGCACATGACGTTATGTAATGCATAATGTTATGAATACCTTCCCATGGATAGTAGATGTACTCACTAAAAATCAACCTCACGAAAGAAAAAAAGCTCCTTGGGAGTAATATGGATATCGTTAAGAACCATATTTATTTGGAGCAATCATACATACCATTTGCTTACGGCGGCTGTTGGCTAGGT